ATCTTTGGGGTAAATACCCAGTAGTGCAATTGCTGGATCGTATGGTAGCTCTATTTTCAACTTTTTGAGGAACCTCCATACAGTTTTCCAGAGAAGCATCACAATTTTTTTAAGCGTCCCTCCCCCAGCAAGTTATATTAACCACGTCTTTTATTTATTTTTTACTTATTTATTTTTTAAGATTTTATTTATTTACTTGACAGAGAGAGAGAGAGCACAAGTAGGCAGAGCAGTAGGCAGAGGGAGAAGGAGAAGCAGGCTTTCCACCGAGCAGGGAGCCCAATGTGGGGCTCGATCCCAGGACCCTGGGATCATGACCTGAGCCGAAGGCAGATGTTTAACCAACTGAGCCACCGAGGCACCCCTGCCTTTTATTTTCTGATGCATTGATACCTGGAGGCTTGCTAATCCTGGAGGGACTGTCCCTCCCACGGCAAACTAATTCTTATAGATAGCAACTTGCTGCCGAGCACACCTTTCATATGCAAACTAACCAGTCCCAGCCTATACCCCAGCCACTTCCTTTATGGGCTCCCGCATTTGGGCCACTATCCATCTGCCCTAATCACACGTGGGCCAGGAGTGCCAGGTGCCAGACAGCTAGGGACATTTGCCCCAGAGCCCACTGAAATTACTCAAACTAGCCAATCGTAAATCTGCTTACTCTACCTTCCTTGTACCCTCCTGCAGAAACCACAATGGAAGCTCTGGCCCTGTTCCCCAACTCCACTGCCTTTCTCCTGACTAAACCTGGTACTTCCCCAGCGGGCCCCCATGGCATAATATGCCCCCTCCTCTTGGATGTATGAGTACAACAAACTATCTTCTCAAGAACAGTTGTCTCCTGATCTGTTTATCTTACCATACCTAAATAATAATAAAGCCTTGGGCTCAGTTGGTTAAGCATCTACCTTTGGCTCAGATCATGATCCCAGGACTCTGGGACTGATTCCTGCATCCGGTTCCCTGCTCAGCAGGGAGTCTGCTTCTCCCTCTACCCCTCCCCACTGCTCATGATCTCGATCTCTCTCTCTCAGATAAATAAAATCTTTAAAATAATAATAATAATAAAGCCTGTATTTTAAAACACCAGTGATTCAAATATGCAGCCAGGCAGGAGACATACTGTAGGAGGGGGTCCCTTGAGAGAAGAATTAAGAATTTCTAAAGTCTGCTTCTCACAACTACTTCCTCATGGGACCACTAAGTGTGTTATCCCAACTCCACATTTACTTTCCTAGAAGCCCCCCTCCATGTTATTCTGGATGGCTTTTAAACAGTCCTAAATGCCATTCCAGATAGACCTGGGTGAGTCTATTTACAGAGAGGTTCAACAATTGTGGCTGGTGTTTCCACATGTGTGCCGTAAAACCAATATTTGATTCTCTTGGAAGCAAGTCAATAAATCAAGAAAGAGAGCTTTGTCAGGTGCTGTAATTGAACTGTGCTATCCTGGAGGTGCATAGTTGAGGATTGAATGAACCAATGATTAAATATTTACTAAATGTCTCTTGTATGCAAGTTTTACGTAGGTCAAGGAAATGACAAAAGAGTTGAAGAAAGAGGGGCTGTCTCAGGAACAAGGCAGGGAAGCAAGAATAGAAAAGAACTGCCACAAACATCCTCAGGAGGCCCTGCTGTGGCCTCTGGAAGTAGGTGGTTTTGTGTAGTTGCCTCTTTATCCAGAAAAAACAAATGGACCGTCTCCTTCTGCATTCCCAACCTGCCCTATGAACCAGGGCTTACCGGAGAAGGCTGAAGGAAAGTCAGGTAATACCACTCATCACCTGAGTAAGCTTAGGCTTCTTGGCTTCCTGGATTGCTTGTTTGCTTGCTTGCTTCTTTCCTTCCTTCTTACCTTCCCTCCCTCCCTCCCTCTCAAAAAACATTTATCTACTATGTGTCTACTCCTGAGCATGGGATATAGCAGCAAGTTCAATGGACATGGATCCTGCCCTCACAGTGCTAAGAAAGTAATGGATAAAACAGACAATAGAAACAATCGGTAAACTGCACTATTTTGATAGAGGAAGTTCAGAACCTACGGGAACATATAGCAAAGGCAACTATGCACACAGCTGAAGGACAAGTTCCAATTTCTCTGAACATATTTCTCATCAGCCCAACAGAAGTACCTACAGATATGTACATGAGAGTGTTGTGTGAGGCCTGGAGATGACAACTGAAAGTAGGTAGCCCAGTTGTGCCTTAGAGTAGGCACTCAAGAAGTAAAGCTAATAATTTTATTATTATGAATAAAGATCTGTTCTTAGTCTTTTTCCCATGGATGCTCCATGAGCCTTACAATTTATCGTCCACCATAAAGACAGTCATGATGCCCTGCTGGCCCCTTTTCCTCTCTCTCTGCTGTTCCATTCTGCAGCTGGGGTAGGCCTACAAGCAACTTATTTCTGTATTTTATTCTGATGAACAATCCCAACCTAGGATTGGAAGTCCTATCTCAGGGAAATGGATTTGTGATTCTAGACATACCAGAACCATGGAAGTAAAGCGTATTAAATCAGAATCAAGGGCTGGTCTGTGGGGAGACAGCCTCTGCAGGACACTGGGGAGCTGGAGTTGGAAACACAAGTGCCCAGAGGTACCTAAGAACTGGCTGTTTTCTCCTCCCTGTTGAGAGTAAGGTCTTGCGGCTGACGAGTTTGGTTCAAGAACCCAGCAATCTTGATGTTGGTTAATGTTCTTTCAAAGCAGGACTGTTATTTAGCTGGTATGTTTTTGTATGATCATAACATTGTTGAAAATATTTTTAAACTTCCCTATTAGTAAATAGCTTCTGTCCCAAGTACCCTCACTCCCTGACCACTCCAGCCCCTCCTAGGGACTCCACAGACCTCTTCACAAGTCTGCATCTAAAGTATTAACCTCTGGCACTGCAGGAGGCCTCCAGAAGAGTGTTCTGATTACACAGGACCCTGGCTTTGCCTTAAAGGGGAGTGCACAAATTGTTAGTGACTGACAAATCACTAGTGAATGGCAAAATATGCTTAAAAAGCAAAGTAGCAATGGCTCAGTAAGATGTGGGGTTTTGTTTTGGGGTTTTGTTTGTCTGGTTTTGGTTTTTTTGGTCAACTGGCAGGACCTCACCTGTGAAGAGTGTGATATTGTTAACTGCCCACTCTCTAAGGACTAATGCCCTGCAAGGGACATGCTGTTCAGAGGTATAATGCATCTGCTCCTGTTCTTGTCACCATCTGCCTTCCCTGACTTTGAAATACATTAAGAACTTAAAGGTGGGAGTGTGAAGCCTCTTTCCACTAATCTATGACCCACCTGCCCTGTGGCAGATGACCTGATGGCTAACTCTTCAAGAGATGGGTAGTCTAACACAAACAGTACCAATCTCTCGTCCATCCAGTAATTCCCTTACACGATAAATATTTATTAAGTTCCTACTGTGTTCCAGTTACTGTGCTAAGCACTGGGGTTGGGGACAGTAAGAAAAATGTTTTAGTCAAAAACAGTTTCTATTCTTTCAAGGCTCACCATCCACTTGAGGAAACAGATACATAAACAAGGGCCATAACGTGGAATGAATTATAATAGAGGTATTTGGAGAACCATAAGAAGGCTCATTCTGCATAGGAATATTAGGGAAGGCTTCATAGAGGAGGTAATGACTAGACTGAATCCTAAAGGATGTGCAAGAATTTTCTAAGCAGAGGTTGGAAAGGAGTAGGGAGACAGCATTCCAGGCAAAGACACAGTTCTAAATGGCACAGCTCACTGGGAATGCAGGGGTGGAGCATCAGTGAATACAGGAGAAGGTGGGACTTGAGGCTAGACAGTTTTTAATGCTAAAAACTACAGCATTAAATGTGAAAGCTTTTATGCCAGGAAGTGACATCATCAGCAATTTCTGATCTAGAAAGCGCACTCTGGCAGTAACGTGGAGGAGGGAGGTAAGTGTGGGTCTACGAGGATGAACATCGGCACAGGCAGATGGAGAGGGGGTGGATCTGAGAGCTGAAAGGGCAGCAGAACGGACAGAGCCTGGAGACATGCTCTGTGGGAGCTGCCAGGGAGGCAGGGTTGGAGGATGACTCCTGGGTTTGGTGCTTGGGGAAGTGAGAGAACCGTGCCATTAACGCAGGCTGGGAACTCACCAGAAGAAGAGTTTGAGGCAGAGAATGGCAGGTGGGATTAATTCAGTTTTGCATGGGCTGTGTTTGAGATATCTGTGGGGCATCTGGGTCGAGGTTGCTAGCAGAGAGTAGGAAACAGAGGGCTGAGGTAGACGTGGAAGCTTGGAGTCCTCACTGGCAGCTCAAGTTCTGGGGACAGCATGTGGAGTGAGCAGAGAAGGAACCAGGACTGGGAGGGGGCAACAAGCAGTGCACCCCCAGTGCTGTTTGAGAGCAGAGGCACTCAGGAGACATGGCCAAAGAACAGTTACTGATTCCCAGATCTGGAAGGGGAGAGGAGACCCCCAAGGTGAGCCTCCCCTCCTGTCTGTCAGCGGGTCAAGCATGGAAGCCATTTATTGGCTTTATTATTTTTTCAAACATCTCCTCATCTTATTATGCGAATTGCATACATACTTACAAAACAATTGCGTATTTGCTAATCTTTCTTCACACCAAAAAGGAACCCAAATGCCAAGCTCTATCAATTACAGATTTCTTTGCAAACACTATTTCTTTAGTAAAAGTGTTTTCCTCTTTTTTGCTCCCATTTGTATCACAACATGCTTCCAGACTCCCCCAAAAGTTTATCAGCCATCTCTTTTACATATTTATATGTATCCCAATTTCTATCCTTTAATTTCTGGAACCTGTTTTCCTGGTTGTTCTCTTTTCCTCTCCCATTAACAAAAGCCCACAGAGTCTTGCAGCTATAGTTTCAAACTAACCACTATTTTCATCTTGGTGCAATTAGTTAACTGCCTCCAAACTCTACAATCTTTAGGAATAAGAGGTCTTAGGTCTTGGATCTCCTCCTATTGACACCCTGACCTTCTTGAACAGGTGTCACAAAATGACTAAGACACTAGAGCCTCCAGTCAGGCACACCCGGGTTTGCCACACAGAACAAGTCTTGATCTAGTCCAAGACCCAGTATGTATATCTGCAAAATGGGATAATCCTAAATATCTATCTCTAAGAGTTGTGGAAGGAATTAAGATAATGCATTCAGTGTGTTGAACATAATACCTAGTAGATAGTACACACTCAATACAGATTAGCATTTATTGCTATAGTTCTCCATAAACACCCCTCCCCAATTACCAACTATATAATTTTCAAGCAACAGCACATTATGCCAATTCAGGGGAATGGACCAGATTATCGCTACGGGTCCTTCCAGGACTAACATTCTACTATGTGACCTCTAGTCTACACCAAGGAAACACGCCGGTGAACGTGACACGGCTTGCGATTGCGGGGCTCTGTGTAACAAGTGTCAGTACGTGAATGTTACTGGGAGCACACGCTAAGGGGGGTGAACAGCAAAGGGAGAAGTGGACAGACACCTAGCGCACAGTCAGCTTCTCTTTCCAGAAAACCAGAAGAAAAGCTTCCTTGTTGCACTTTCTCAACAAATTGCACTGACGAGATTCATTTAAGTTTCAACATTAAAAAAAAAACAACCCTGGTTGAAAAAAAGAAAGCTTCCACCTTTTATTTTTTTATTTTTTTTTTTTAAAGATTTTATTTATTTATCTGACAGAGAGAGACACAGTGAGAGAGGGAACACAAGCTGGGGGAGTGGGAAAGGGAGAAGCAGGCTTCCCACGGAGCAGGGAGCCCGATGTGGGGCTCGATCCCAGGACCCTGGGATCATAACCTGAGCCGAAGGCAGACGCTTAACGACTGAGCCACCCAGGCGCCCCAAGCTTCCACCTTTTAATCATCCCCCCCATTATATTTTAGATATCAAAAAAATAAACACCTAAGACAAGCCTAGGCTTTCATTCCCGAGGCCCCTTTCTCATGGGCGGACACTGAAACTAGCTTTGACCACTTTTCCTGTTACTCCATGAGACCTTGAAAAGGTTCCCACCAGAGGTCCGAGTACCATTAAGAGAGACATCAGAGCCCAGCAAACACTCCGAACTTGTCTGTCTAATGCCCATCTCCAAATCTCCACATGCTCATTCTTCTCCTGGATAAGAAAAATCACTCATTCCGTTCAGCTTTTACTATGGGCCAAGATGCCCCCCTTACAAATCTGTGAGGATGTTCTATTGTTATCCCCATTTTACAGACAAAGAATTGAGTCACATGAAAGTGAAATAATTCATCCAAGTTCACAAGTGACTTCTGGACACTGTCCCCAGATAGTGAGTGTGGCACTAGAAACATGCTCCCCACCATGCCAAGCTGCCCCCCACCTTTATTTTCATCTCCAATTCCTTCTTACCTTCTGGTCCCCAAAAAGCACTGTCCCCACAATACAGCCAAGGGAATTAGTTATTAGGGAGCTGAATTCTAAGCAAACATACAAATATCTCAAAAAGTTGATGTTTACCAAAGTACTTCATTGAGGAAATATTGCACTTGCTATTTAAAGAATCAAATTAATGAAAAGTCCATATTGAAATGCATTAAAAGTAGGCATTTTAGTTAGCTCTGCACTCATTCTTAGGTCATCTTAGATGTCCCCAAATCTTACTATCCCCCGACTGGAATTCACAGAGTGAGGAAAACATTTCTTATCAGCATCAATGTTACCTCTGTGAGGCAGCTCTGGGAGGTACCCTGGGGGGCCTCTCAAGGGGCAGAGTGGGTGTTCCTTCCACTTGTGGGGGGCCTGGGCTACGACTTCTGGTAACCTCAGGGACTTCATTATCCTGCAGCAAAAAAGATGAGAAAGAAAAGGGGAAGTTACATTAAACAACAAGCATAACTGGACACCATTATCCCAAAGCCTCTCAGTCCCCCTCAGGCTTTGGCTAAGGTTATTCACAAATTGAGAATAAACCCAGCGACACCAGGTCAGCTTTCCATTGACGCCTACAGTCACTGAGGAGACAATGAAGCCCAAATTATCATTAATGGTCCTTGTTACTCAGAGTGCCCTCTGTGGGCCATCAAATCAGCATCACCTGAGAGCTTGTGAGAAATGCTGGCTCTCAAGCTCCTCCTCAGACTTGTTTGATCAGAACCTGCATATTAACAAGATCCTAGGTAATTCTTATGCACATTAAAGGGTGAGAAGCCTGCTCTGTATAACCAGATAGAGCTGGAGAAATTTTATTTTTAAACCAAAGTCCCTTTTTGGGACAGCAGAACCGTGAGTGGTTCTCTGTTGTGGGTAATTAGTAGAAGCTGCTCACTGGAGGGGTGGCCCACCCACCCCGAGGACCCGATCTCAGGGAGTCTCCTGGGTTGGCAGTGACCCCTCCTGCTCGTCCCAGCAACTGGTCACTGGATCAGAATAGACACCCTGACCCAAATTGGGCTTCAGCCTACGGCAGCAGCTCACCCTCTCCTCAGAGGCCTTGTGGCTCTCGGGGGCCTATTTGCCACCATACATGTGGAGGAGCGGAAAAGGCCAGCGTATAGAGAGAGAAGAAAGCAGATATGCCCAGGGAAGAAGAGACGAAAGAGCATGTGGCCCTGGGGATACACGGAGCAGGGGCCTTGGCTCTGCCATTTCTCACTGCTCCTGATCCAGGCCCCAAAATGTGATCTCAACCCCCAGATTCCCTGATGGTCATCCCGCTCCTTCTCACAGATGCCCTTTTGGCTTAACCAGTCAGAGTGAATTTCTATTTCTCCCTCCCTCCCTCCCTCCTTTTCTTCCTTCCTTCCTTCCTCTCCTTCCTCCCTTCCTTCCTTCCTTCCTTCCCTCCTTTCCTTCCTTCCTTCCTCCCTCCCTTCCTATTTATTGAGGTAAAATTCACATAACATAAAATTAACCATTTTAAAGTAAACAATTCAGTGGCATTTAGTACTTTCACAATATTGTACAACCACCACCTCTATCTAGTCCCAAAACATTTCATCATCCCAAAAGGAAACACAGTACTCCCCGTTTCCCCCTCCCCCCAGCCCCTGGGAACCACCAAATCGGTATTCTGTCTCTCTGATGCTACCTATTCTGGATAGTTCACATAAATGGAATCCTATATTATGTCACCTTTCTTGTCTGGCTTCTTTCACCTGGATTTCTATATCCTGCAGTGGAATGACCCCTCGGACAAGAAAAACAGGGGTGGGGTCCCCAGCCCTCACCTCATTGTCCCCCTCCATCCCGCTGCTCACACTGAGGAGGCTCCGGGTGCTGGATCGGTTACTCGTACTGCCTGAAGGGTACAAACAAAATTAGCTGGACTGTGGATTCTCTCAGGCTAAAATAAAATGCAGGACTCTAGCACTTACTTATTTTTACTGATAGAAACAAAACATAAGCTGGTGAATATGGGATCTTCAAAATGCTGCCATCTTATACCATTTTATTAGTGTTTAGTTTTTCTTTCAGCATAAAATGAAATGGTTCACCTTTTTATTACTTTTTTTTTTTTTTTTTTTTTGCTTTATAGCCACCGTTTACTGAGGGCTTACCACACATTACATGCTTTAAAAACATAACAGCACTTAATCCCTATGAAAACCCTATCTGATATTAGTGCTCTGGTTTGACAGACAAGGAAGCAGAGATGTTCTATTTCTTACTCATTCAGTGGTATTTCTAAAATCTGCAAACATCTTGTTGAAGTTTTTTACTTATTTAGAAATTATAGCAAGCATATAATCTCACACACACACACACACACACACACATATATATATATATATATATACACCTTCCAATAAGGGGCCAGTTTTGTTTTGTTTTGTTTTTAAGGTTTTATTTATTTATTCGACAGAGAGAGAGACAGTGAGAGAGGGAACACTGGGAGAGGGAGAGGGAGAAGCAGGCTTCCCGCCGAGCAGGGAGCCCGATGCAGGACTCGATCCCAGGACCCTGGGATCACGACCTGAGCCGAAGGCAGACGCTTAACCGGCTGAGCCACCCAAGCGCCCCAATAAGCGGCCAGTTTGATACAGACAAAATACAAAACACAAACTCCAAAGCGTGATTTATGCTCACAGTAGGAACTATGATTGTGTGAGTTTAGGTGCTCAAGGCATTTGAATTGGGAATGTATCACCTACCTATCTTATTAGAACAGCACTATCCAATAGAACTTTCTGGAAATGTTCTATTGTATACTATCCAATATGGTAGCTAGTGCATACCAGGAACTAAGGAACTAAATTTAAATTTTATTTAGTTTTAATTAACTTCATTTTAAATAGCCACACGTGGCTAGCGGCTGCCATACTGGACAGCACAGAATTAGAACGAGCTCAAATATGTGATGATCCAGGAGCAAAAAAAAGAACAGTCGGTCAACTAAGGCCAAAAAAAACTGACTTTAATTTACCACTGTCGCCACTAGCAGCATTACCAGATCTTAGGTTTACTGAATTTCCTCTTAAAACAGCTTCTCATCATATTAGTTTATAAGTAGTCTTAATTTCAACTTTGACCTAATTAATTCAGATGTGAGCTGAAATAGAGCAATTTAAGATTATAATTTTGGATTATTTCTTGGGGATAGATTTTTACATTTAAAATAATGTATCAAAATACTTAATAAGCCAGGGGATTCGGAGTGTTTTTTAAGGACCACATGACCCTTTTCCTTTGTATTCAGTTACCCATACATAACAATGTCCACTTGGCCAGAATGTCCCCATCCCACCCCTATCCACAAGGCAAAAACCTCAGGCTCCAATGCTCAGGACAAATGCTATGGAAACCTTTCCAGACTCCCCCAGAGGAAGTAACCCCTCCAGCCCATGGGCTCCCAGTCCTGTAGAGCCAAGTCTCTGTCACTCACCATTCTTCATCCCACTCCCTCGCTGAACCAGCCTCCTTCCGAAGGTTATCCGCTGGGAGAGAGCAAAAAGCCATCCAGGCACTGGCTCCAGGACCCTAGAAACTCACACTCACCAGCTCCCATTGTGCCTTCCCTGGGTGTTCCTAAATCTTTAACCCCCAGAGTTTGGCTTTGAACCTTGGCTCCCTGGTTCATCTGCCCTGACCCTCTCCCTCCCCAGGCTGACTTGCTTACGCCCATCCCCTCTGGACTGCATGGTTGGTAGGAGGCTCTGGCCCCCATCATCTTCCCTCTTGCCGGGGGGGAGGAGGGCAGTGCCTACCTCTTCCAGGCCTCTGTCACCAGGAAGGAAGATCAGACAAGCATCTAACTCATGCTAGTTTTATATTTTCTCTACTCCATTACAAGCCCCCTGAAGACAGGCTCCATTTCTTTTTCATCTTTGTATCTCCAGTGTACAGTCTTGCTCAGAATACACAGAGCAATCTTCAAATATTTGGTGGATAAATGAATGAGGGGGAAAAAAGTGACCAAATATAATATGACCCTTAAGAAACATGGACCCGACAATCTACGAAAAGGTTAAAAGTCTTTCTGTAATAAAACCTGTGTTCCGTTAAACATAACATTAATATTCTTAACTAAAATCTTACTTATGACCAGATTTAACCTGCATCTGTTTTTCTGTGGTTCCCAAGAGATGACAGCTGTGCCATAATACAAATAGTGCCATCTTCAAGGTGTGACCCTGGTGGGTAAAGAGCAGTTGGTAGATCAGGGCTGGGCCAGCTCCACTCTGTCTCCCTGCCCTGGGGACTATACCTATTTGGAAGGCAGTATGTGCCGATAGTTAAGTGCACAGCAAGATCTGGATGTGAATCCCAGGCAGACCTTCTGCCTACTTGGCCTGTAACCCAGGGCCCAACCTCTCAATGTCCGTTTCCTGATCTAGAACTCCCAGCATTGTTGCATGGAATGGGTTAGGTCACATGGACACATGCTTGGCACGGGGCCTGCAAGACGAAGCATCTGACTGATGGCAGCAGCTACCATCACTTCATCAACCCCAAGATCCATTAGTGACCCCCAGACCTTCACCTCCCAGGACCCATGGCTCTGAATAGTCCCTTCCATCCCTCCTTCCAGGCATAGCTATGTGGCTTGCTCTTCAATATGACAACAGTGAGTGTGATACAAGGTAAAGAAAGCATGATAAGCACTTGCACATTGGGGTCTATCCTCCTGGAATGTTCCCTTTCTGGATTTTGTTACCATATAAGAAGTTCAGGCTACTGACTTAGAGGCCATATGTAGAGAGGCCCGAAGGATGACAGACCATCTAGGATGGTCCCGCCCATGCCGAGCTTATAGCTGAGGACATGCGCAGGAGTGACCCCAACTGACCCACATGGTGCGGAGGTGAACCATCTCCACTGAGTCTTGCCCAAGTGCAGAATCAGGTATAAATAAATGGTTGTTTCAAGCCACTGTGTTTTGGGATGGTTTGTTACACAGCAATAGAAAACTGAAACTGTATAGCAGAGACTGGATGCAGGCAACAGCCAAAGAGTAGAGTAAAATCCACTGGTCTGACACTTAATAACATTTTCTGACCAGATGAGCTAGCTGTCCCTGGGCAATAAACCATTGCACAAAGTAAGAAGCATAGTTTATGCTTTTCATTCTCTTTTCACCTCAAAGTAAAACATACACATAAAATCACTTAAATTAATCTGAACCTGAAATGAGTACTTTCCATTTGTCTTGTTAAATTTCCCCTCCTCTCTGCCCCGGAATGCCCTGCCCTCACCCTGAGATCTATACCACATCTCTCCTCCACCACACATCTGAGAGACGGGCCACCTGCCTTGTGCTTTCTCAGCCACTGGGGATCACTGGGAAAAGCTCTCCCATTTCTGAACTTGCCAGAATTCTCTAAATTGCCTCAAGAGGGTTTTGGATACACATTACCACCCCCATTATGGAAGGAGAAGTTTTCTCCTCTGCCCACATCCCCTGTGGTGATGTGATAGGCTTTGGGTCTGTTTCAACCAGTAATAGCGAGTGGCGGGAACATGAATCTGAGAGAAGATCTAGGCCTGCTCCCACCTTGGCTTCATTGGCTGTGTGACCTTGCACAAAACTCTTTCCTGCTCTGGATTATAAATACCCAATCTATAAAGTAAGAAGGGAGACTAGTGCTGGGGTTCTTGACCTAAGTCCACAGACAGGCAACCCTATGTGTATATGTATGTACACAAGCCCATGCATTTCTCTGGGAAGCACATCCAGAGCATAGATCAGATTCTCAAACAGTCTGTGATGCAGAAAAGATTAAGAACCCCTGCATTTAGATGACTTTCCTGTCCTCATATCCATTTGGAGGTTCTCTGCCTGACATTTAAGGAGCCACGAGTCCTGAAATTCAGTCCTGAGTCTCCTACTTTTTCATTGCTCTCCTCGCTGTTTTGATAACACTAAACTGTATGAAAGAAGGGAAACTAGATCTATTCTGCTGGTAAAGCAGGTGCATCTGAGGTCCGCCAGCCCCGCCCTGGATACAGAAACAAAGCCCCCACCTTCTGCGTGTCCATCAGCAGGTGTTGTCTATTGCAGTCAGACTCCATCAAGCTTTCAACCAAAATGTCTCCCCCATTTCCTAACTGGATCCTCAACTCGTCCATAAAGTTGGAATTCTCAAATGTAAGTCCATTGTTTTCTAATGTGTCTGACTTTGGCCCTTTCCTTCCCCTTACCACGGCTGAAGAAGCGGAAAGGATAGTGGTTGAGAATCTGGGCCCTGGATCCAGGCTGCCCGAGTTCAAATCCTGACACCACTTATTAGCTGTTTAACCCAGGGCAAGGCACTAAGACTCCAGTTTCCTCCTCAGTAAATACAGGTGATGGTGCCTATCCCATAGAGTTATTGTGAGAATTAAATCGGAGAATCTATAGAACAGGCTTAGCATATAGTAAATGCTCAATAAATGTTAACTAGTGTTATTACTAGGCTTTTCTAGTTACAAAAGGAACGGTGTAATAAATTATTACACAACCTGGCTTCAGGGGATATTGATATAAAGGATCTTTGGCCGTCTGAAAAAAGATAAACCGCACAGGCTAAATGTCCCCCATTTCTTACACCCCCCAAACCCAGCAGATCCCAGTTGGACCTGCTGGGTTTGTGAGCCCCCAAAATCTGCTGGGCTTACAACAGAGACTGGTCCCAAAGCCCAATGGCACCAGCGGGAATGCAGATGTGAAGGCAAGCCCCCCGTCCTGCTCACTTGCTGTGCTGGAGGTACTATCTGTTTTCCAGTCTCCTCGCCTTAGCTCCGTCCTTGGGGGGAAGACGCTTTTCCTGGGGCCGCTCTCATAGACTCCAAACTCCACTTTCCCGGGCAGGTGCTGTGAGTGCCGAATCGGGACGGTGATCTCCAAGTCTAGAATTAGAAGAAACAGAGATAAGCTTGAAGGCACCTGACTGCGACCCGCCAAACTGCTCGGCTCCCTCTCCATCTGCCTGCCAGGCCTGAACCTGGAAGGTGTCTGCCACGGAAGGGCAGGGAGGGAGAGGGCGTGGGAAGGGGGAGGGAGCCCTGCCCAATTCAACACTGAAACTCCACGGACTGCTGTGTGGCCATCGCTGTGTGCAGAGGAGAGGTCAGAGGCACATGAGAAAGCCCGACAAATGCTTCCACATCAGACAGAGAGCCCACGATCAGGGAAAGGTCTGGGGCCTGCAGCTATGCCGCCCCCCAGCTGTGCAACGTGGATGACTTCCCTACCGGAGGGGGACCCGTGAGAGCTGTTGATCCTAACAACTGGTTATCCTGTGCACCAAGCAGAGTTCTGTGAGCTTCCCAACCCCCAGGAAATAAATGCTATTATCATCATCCCCAACAGAAACTAGTTGCAGAGAAGTGAAGGAGCACATGGCTGGCAAGTGGGACAGCTGGGATTTGAACCCAGGCTCCAGAGTCCAGGTTCCTAACCACTACTCATACGGCCTCTGAATCCCTCAACAAATGATGGGTGCTTGGTGCATGGTCTGCAATGACAGCAACGGCCCAGAGAGCTAATGAAAGGAGGTCCATCAGCCTCATAAAAGATTTTGAGACTTGCAAGGCTGACCAGTGGCTTTGGAGCTGAGAGATTATTCCTTCGCTCTGCACAGCATGAAACTGGTCTCTTGACTGGCTTAGCCCTGCCTAGGACTTGATCTTTAGTCCTCCCTAGATTTCCACTCCCTGGGTTCTAGACTGAGCAGAACAAAATAGCTGTGGAGGCCCATACCCCACTTCTTCCCCCGGGAAAGTGTGAACACCAGGTGAGCTCGTGTGACAGGGCTCCCGTGATGCCCTGAACGTTCCCAAGCCCGGGGGCAGGGCCCCTGGGAGAGAGAGGTGGGAGCTCCGTGTACTTTTGGGTGGTGTGCTCTTTTTTTTTTTTTTTTTAAATATTTTTATTTATTTATTTGAGAGAGAGAATGAGAGAGAGAGAGCATGAGAGGGGGGAGGGTCAGAGGGAGAAGCAGACTCCCTGCCGAGCAGGGAGCCCGATGCGGGACTCGATCCCGGGACTCCAGGATCATGACCTGAGCCGAAGGCAGTCGCTCAGTTGGGTGGTGTGCTCTTATCTTCATGGTACCACTTCCTCCGGTGCCTCGCCTCTGCTGCGGGATGGGTATGGCCAGGGCTTCGGGGAGTCCAGGGGCAGAGGTGGCTCCGCGTGCCAAAGCCGGAGTCTGCCCAAGAACGGCGAATGGGGAGACTACAACCGTAGGAAAGAGGAAGTTCGAGGACAGGGCAGACGGAGCCTGTGAGAAACACTCCATACAGAGGATGTTACAAAGCTGGACTGTGGTTTACGTGGACCTCACACGTGCCTCACCCTAGAGACGGGTTCCAAGCGCAGTGTTTGGTCCTAGTATTAAACCAGCTTTCTAGGTCTCTGTGTGACACAGATCTTTCTCACACCCTCAGGCTCGCCTCGTTACGACGGAGCAGGGCAGCAGCCACCAGAGCCCGGAACCACCTGCACATGGGTGTGGGCCCAGAGTGGCTCGGGGCCCAAACAGGCGTCATCCTTTTATTTTTTTTCCTCAGCTTTGACCTAGTATTTTTTTTAAACAATACTCTCTTAAAGGGAGGTTCCGATCTGCTTTAATGCACTTCAATGTGGCAATTTTTTACCCTCAACCGGTTCTATGAGGAAGGAAAGTAAAATACATAGGAAAAAAAAATTGGGAGTCAAAAGTTCAAAAAATCAGGGGCGCCTGGGTGGCTCAGTCGTTAAGCGTCTGCCTTCGGCTCAGGTCATAATCCCAGGGTCCTGGGATCGAGCCCCGCGTCGGGATCCCTGCTCAGCGGGAAGCCTGCTTCTCCCTCTCCCACTCCCCCTGCTTGTGTTCCCTCTCTCACTGTGTCTCTCTCTGTCAAATAAATAAATAAAAAATCTTAAAAAAAAAAAAAGTTCAAAAAATCAAGTAGAGCCAGTCTAAATGTCTACCAAATCCTGATATTCTTGGAAGAAAGAAACAATGCCAGGAATAGTAATCAGCATTATATCTCACGGTACTTTTCCTGGAGTGTGTCTCCATGGGTCATTATACCTCCTCTGAACTTCACTTCTTCCCTGTGAAGTTGGTAAGTCAGGTACAACCATGGGGGAAGAAACTGAGGCACAGTGTGATTAAAGGGATTGTCCTGGATCATAAAGTGATGCAGTGACTGGAGTGGAGGGATGGGAGCCCAGGCTGCCTGGCACCCGGCCTGCTCTTCCTGGTCCTGCCCCAGATGAGCCCCAGACATACCCAGAACACAAATACGGACTGTCTTCTTTGGGGGTGTTCAACAAGTCACGGGCCACGCCAGCCCCTCTGATCTATACCATCAACGTTCTGCACCATCCCAGCAAGAACAAGACAACCCCCCAAGGCTGAAGAAAGACTAGCACGTTATTATGAACAGACTCTTACTTTTTAATTATCATTGGTGTTCTAACCTAAATTAAAGAAAAACAGTCGTTTTTCTTTTCTAAGGCAAATGAGATTTCTAAATAAACGGAGTCAGCCCTTCTGTTTAGAATGGGCTCCATTCCTAGAAAAGGTCTTTTAAGCAGAAATGCCATTTGTTAACCCTAATTTTCCTACAGATTGATGTTACCCTGTGTCAATGGTTTCTAAATGTTTTTCTTTTTTCTTTTTTTTGGCAGGGGTGGGGAGGAAGCAGAGTTCTTTTTTTTTTTTTTTAGATTGTATTTATTTATTTGAGAAAGAGAGATTGAGAGAACAAGTGGGAGGAGGGGCAGAGGGAGAAGCAGACTCCCCACTGAGCAGGGAGCCTGATGCGGGGCTCGACCCCAGGACCCTGGGATCATGAGCTGAGCCGAGGGCAGACGCTTAACCAACTGAGCCACCCAGGTGCCCAGGGAAGCAGAATTCTTTCGTCTGGTGAAAACAGAAGCTCAATGTGGAAAAAAGATTTTTTTTTTAAAGGAGCTGCAATGGTCAAAGCAGAGTAGGTTGCCCTAAACCTGTCACAATCCTAATCTCTTCCCCCACTTTCCCCTACCCCACCCCCAGTGCCTACCCTTTACTCCCACAAGCACACATAAGCAGCACTGAGGCTACTCGGTGTGAAATAGCCCATTACAAGTTAGTATGCCACTAAATACATAATCGAGTTTTATGGAGTTAAATAATATGCCATATTTAGCCAACCATAAATGATGCCCACTCTTTGGCAGGGGATCTGATGCCCTTGGGCCTCACCATGTAGTATATGGTTCAACTTCCAAACTGCCTGAAGCTTTCTCTGGTAACTAGATGACAAGCACCCCCCACTCCCCAGCGGGCTTCCCGCAGACACGGGAGCTGGTGAAGAAATGCCCCAGCTCCCTGGCCCCTTCCATGGTGCTGTCCATTGACTCCCAGAGTCTCCAGGGACAAGAAGCTCCAGTCTTCACAGTGGTAACTGCACCTTGCTGGCCACCTCTGTTTCCCTCTCTCACTTCCCCACTCCCCCTGTGTTCCCTGGGATCATATCCCACCATTTGCTCTCAAATCCTTGTCGGGGAAGAAAAAGTTCTAGAAATGGATCACGGTAATGGTTGCCTGATATTGTGGATGTATTTAACGCCACTGAATTGTACTTTTAGGCCCAATGATAAATTTTATGTTATGGGTATTTTACCACAATAAAAAACAAAAACAAGGGGCGTCTGAGTGGGGCAGTCAGTTAGGCATCTGACTCATGGTTTCAGCTCAGGGCCTGATCTCAGGGTTGTGAGATCGAGCCCCGCATTGGGCTTTGCACTGAGCACGGAGTCTGCTTGGAACTCTCTCCCCCGTTCCCTTTGCCTCTCCCTACTGTGCTCTCTCTCTCTCTCAAATAAACCTTAAAAAAAAATGAAAATGAAAGGAAACTCTTGGTGCTGATGGGTAGAACATTCTCTCTATGGTGGATTGCATGTGGTCCCCAGTTGTTCTTGTTTAGTGTCAAATTAGATATGGTTTAATCTTCTAATAGTTATGACATTAATTAAAACCCCTAATGTAAAAAGTAAAAATACTTAACACCTCCCCATAAAACCTAGTCAGAGGGTCTTCTTGAAGAGTAGAGGGGAAGGGAAGCAAGGGCATTTAACCATGTTCCTTTGAAAAAATGTAGACCTTGACCATTCTAGTGAAGAGACACTGGTGGGTATCGCTTATTCAGAGCCTGATGAGCTTTGGCTGAACTTTGTATAATGTTCCAAAACCCAGGATTCCAGGGCTGGACCCTGGATGGCGAGTCCCAGCCCAGCGCACGCACCCTGGGAGGCCCTGCCTGAGAGGACACCAGCTGCCGGACGGGTGGGTGGTCTGTACAACAGTGCTTCCATGTGCCAGGCACTGTGCGAGACCCCAGCTATCCCCTAACTTGTTCAATCCTCACAGAAACCCTAGTGGGGGAGGCACTTTTATTTGTGCCCCTTCGCAGATGAGGACCGAGGCTCAGTTGGGGGACTTATCTCGCCCATGGTTAGGGGTGAGCAGTGGCTAGGAACTTGACCCCAACCCTGATGGCCCCAGGGCCCACGCCTGTACCCTTTACTCCTCAGCACATGTGTGTGTCTTGCTTCAATATCTCCACCGGTTGGGGGGTAAAGGTGTGATGACACCCAGTGGGCTCAGTTCTGGAGCCCTGGCTGCCCAGCACTCATAACTCCAACACTACAACTCTCTGGCCTTCAAACACTCATGCACCACCAAATCACAGCTTTTTTGAGGCTGCCTATGTGTCAAAGCGTGAAATGTTTCATTTAATCAAGGCTTCTATCTTTGGGTTCATGTGCTCTAGTTTTAAAAGGCACCTCGTCCCTTTTCCCACCTAGAACCTATTGTCAGACCCTAAGATGACTATGCAGATCTTGAACCAGATTTTTTGCCTTCAGCCAGGAGGGCAAACACGTGTGAGCTTGGGTGGTGGAAGCATACATTGAAGATCTAGTCACCCAAGCAGACATCTTAGGATGACCTCTCTGACCTTCTGCCATGGTTATAACCTCTGTATGCACCTTTTCCCAAACTGTCAAAATCATTAATATTCAGTAGGCTAGTACCATATGCAAAATACTGTGTTAAGCATTGTGGGGCAGACTTTAGCTGGGAAAATCAGACCTACACAAGTAACAGACTAACTCATACACTACCCAATGGTGAAGATCATGCCTTACGGGTCTCTATGTCTGGCAGAGAACCTGGCGCTCAGTTAAGTGTTTGTGGAATGAATGAATGGTGTTACCAAACATTTTATTCCAACAGAGATTCCTTGAGCCCAATCAATGTACTGTCCTACACGCTGGGGATTCAGCAGAGCACAGAACAGACAAGCTCTTGCCCTCATGGAGCTTACGGCAGGTGGCGGTGGGGAGATGGGCCAGAAAACAACCATGAGAGTAGGCACATAAGATAATTCCAGTCTGTGATATGTGAAAACAATGTGAGCAAAGGCACAATGAGTTGCGAAGGATCACTCTGGAGAGAATGTGGAGAAGGCCTCTCTGAGGAGAACTTACAGCCAAACTTTGAAGGAGGAAAGAGCCAGTCAGTGAAGACATGGGAAAAGTGGAGGGGGGACAAAGGCCTGGGGGAGGGCTGCTCTTGACTTGTTAGAGGAACAATAAAGGAGTCCTTTGGGACTAGCGCACAGGGTTGAAGGGGAAAGTGGAGGTGAGCTGAGGGGTGAGACCACGTAGGGCCTCTCAGGCCACAATGAGGAGTGTGATTTTACTCTGGGTGGGACCAGAGCCCCTGGAGGGTTTTGAGCAAGGGACTGGCATGATCTGATTTTTTATTTTTAAAAGGTCATTGGCTGCAGTTTGGAGGATTAACTGTAGACAAGTGAGAGTGGACACGGGGAGACAACTGAAGAGACTCCTCATTCATCCAGGAAGAGATGATGGTGGCCTGCCTGCAGCTGTGGCAGGGGAAACAGTCAGAAATAATCAGATTTAAGATGCATTTTGGAGGCAGAACCTCTGGGAATTGATAGTTTGAATACAGGAATGAAGTAATAGCAATCAGAGGCACAAAAAAGAAGTGCCGGATGAATGGAAGGGACAGTAGGTCCTATAAGTGCCCAAGTGGGGAAGGAATGCAGTGGCCCAGCAAGGCCTTGCCGAGCAGGGGCTGCCGGGCTGGGTCTTCCAGCCCAGGAGTTTTCATACAGGTGAGAAAGAAAAGGCATGAGCAAGGGGCCTGTGGAAGGAAGATGTCATTTTTAAAGTCTGGGGTGTCACCTGCCTGGCCAGGGTCATGAGAAGTCAGGCTATTGATGGCAGCTGAAGACAGACTATGGAAGTTATACACAAACTTAGTCCTTCATTTAATGGGGCTCTACTCAAGATCCGAGAGCTTCTGAAAGCCTTTTATTGCCAGCTCTACTTGGTATAAGCTGGCCAAAATAAATCATAGAGACCCACCATGCCGGAGGCTCTTGGTGGAAATATGCAATGTTGGCAAATGCCCATCACTGCTCAGGGCTAGGGGTGCCGAGAGGCCTGGTTGTACACAGTTGGAATATATGGCCCTGCTTTGGACCCCTACTCCACATGGCTGGAGCCCTGCTACACCTGAGTCCTGGCTTCCGAAGCACTGTGTGGTATGGACACCAATGATGCCATTCTCTGCTTCAGTCGGAAACAGATACTATGTGCATGAGTTTTCTCCTGTCTCTGCTCAAAAAACATGTCTTCCTAAATGCCAAGGGGAGACTCAGGTGCCTGGGGAAAAAATCTTATCATCCTCTTTGAGTGAAAGGATGGGAAATGCAGAGGTGAATCCATTCATTCACTTGCTGACGTGTCCTATGTGCCCGGTACTAGAGATAAAGAATAAACAAGACAGGGGCTCCTGGGTGGCTCAGTCAGGTAAGTGCCTGACTCTTGGTTTCGGCTCAGGTCATGATCTCAGGGTTGTGGGCTGGAGCTCTGCACAGGGCTCTGCACTGAGCGTGGAGCCTGCTTAGGATTCTCTCTCCCTCTCTCTCTCTGTCCTCCCACGCCCCGCATGCTCTCTTTCTCTCAAAAAAACAAACCAACAAACAAACAAACAAAACAAAGCCATTGCCCAAAAGAACCTCACAGTACAGTGGGTTCCCAGATCTGTAAACAGGGTAACAGGCACGCACTCTGCCCACTGAGGTGACAGCAGAAAGGAGAGTTAGGGACAATGGATCATAGCAGCCCCCCACAATGCAGCACCCCCAAAAGCTACATACCTGCCTGCTTTCCTGATTTTTGCTTCTCTCTCTGTCTTCGGGTGATGCTGTCCCTTAGCCGTTTAAGATTTTCCTGGAAAAAAATTTAGTTCATTTTAAAAGTATATACAAGAAATATACCCTCCAGGCATTAAAAGTTTCTTTCAGATTTTATGCTGTTTGCAAGATACATCCCATTGCAATAACATCTCCAACATGCAAATGAGGCTGAGTGCATTTGTAATCAGCCCCAGAGAAATTCAAGTACTCTTAGAAGTTGTGCCTGAAGAGAAGACCCCTTTCCTACAACAAAGCGTCTCCCCTCCCCTCTAGTTCCCAGCTCCTTCCTAGCCTTATAACCCCCTGCCCTCCTCCTTGTAGGCTCCTTTAGCCAAGCCAGTCCTGTACGTGTTCGCAAACGCTCCAGGCACATATCTGCCCGAGACTGGGTTTTCATGCCATTCCTCTGACCATGAGGGGGAGGATTCCTCCCCATGAGTCTGTTCCAGGTCTCAGTCAAGGTCCACCTTCTGCCTTAAACCTCTCCAGACTGCTCCGGTTGTGCAGTCTGCTCCACCTGGCGCTGAGCTATGCCGCCGGGCCCAGTGCATTTGTGCATGTGCGTGGCTTTGGGGGTGTGTGTGTTGTCTCTTCAGAGAGACTGTGCACTCTCAAAGGGCAAGACACGAGGCCTTACAGCTTTCTGAAAGCCTGCAGTCGGGTCTATCAGTCATTAAACAAATGTTGAATAGACATGTGAGGGCCGAAATTTTTTGCTATTTTAGTCAGTAACAACTACCTCAAGGTGTCTGAAATCCGAGAGAAAATGCCCCAAGGACTAACGTCTAGACATCCAGAAGGGTCCCCTGACGGAGCCACGGAGGTCAGACTAGGAGGGGTGTTTGGGCTGTGACTATAGCGGAGACTGAGCTTGTCCAGGAAGCAGCAGGAAACACTGGAAGGCGTGGGCTGGGCACAGCTTTAAGGTCTGACAGACTGGAGGCGGGAGGAGTGAGCAGCAAGGAGATCCACCTAGACACTATGTGGCAGGCACATGACGGTGACAGAAGCTGGCCCTGGGGGAATGGAAAGGAAGGAGCAGATGCAAGAGGAAGAATCACAGAGTGGAACCAGGCAAGACATGCAGCTGGCTGGATATGGGGGACTGAGGGAGAAGAGCCCAAGGGATGGAAAGTCTCTGGAAGTGTCTGGAAGGTGATAGTGTGGTAAACAGAAATAGAGAGCCAGGAAAGGGAAGCAGCCTCAAGGTAGTTTGTTGCTGGACATGCTGCGAGGCGTGGACACCTCAGCAGGACACACCCAGCTGGTGGCTGCAAAGGTGGGACTGGAAAGGGAACACGGACTCAAGAAGGACCTGAAGGGACCCTGGGTGGTGCCTACTCACGGGAGGGGAAGTGAAGGAGACAGAGAAGTGGACAGAGGCATGGAGGAAAGGGGCAGCCCGCGGAACGGTCTTCACACCCACCAGTCCCTGGATGGGGGATGCTCTAGAAATACCAAGAGGCTCTAGAAATACCAAGAGGCTCTTGGGGCACAGAGTAGTGTCAGCTCCCATGGGCTAGGATTGCCTGCCATGTCAAATATGAGCCCCTATTGTCTGCCACACCCAGGAGTTCTGGGCAAGTTCGTGGGACCAGGAGAAGCCTCTTGGATACAGATGGAGACAGAGCGCTAACATTTGTTAGGCGTTTACTGGGTGCCGGGCATGCCGAGTCCTTTACATGGTTTACATTGTCCAGTGTTCACCCTTCACATTTGAGGTGGGAAACAGAGGTAGAGAGAGGCCGAGGTCATTCAGCCCCACGTGACCGAACAAGTATGTAACTCGGGCTGCCTGGCCCCAGAGCCTGCTCTTAATGACTGCGAAACATTGGCACGTGACCTGGCCAGGAGAAAGAACACTGTTGTTTGCCCAGGGCCAGGCTGTCCCGGGAGGAGGGAGGCGGGCCAGCAGAGCAGGGGACCTTCTTGCAGGGAGCACTAAGAAGGCAGAAAGTGTAGCGAAGGGAGCACAGACTCTGGCGTGAGAAAGGGCTCCTCTGAATCCTGACTCTCTACCTCTCCGAGCCTCAGTAGTCTGTAAAATGGGAACAGTGGTACTTCTCTTGCATGCACGCTGGGAGCAGCAGAAGAGATTAGGTCCATTCAACACTGAGCATTGTCAGTAGACTGCTGGCACAGCTGGACAAATGCTGCTCGATGACTTACTTCCCCACTCGTCACCACTCTGAGACAGGACTCCAATCTCAGCAGTAGGTGGGTGCTGCTCCCACTGCCCCTCCCCCCAACGGCAGGTGTGTCAGGACTTCTGAGGACAGAGATTAGAAGACACACCATGGGGAGGTGGAGAGAAAAAGCAACCATTCTGGTCTTGCCTTGCTCTCCACTTAGTGGGTAAGTGGTCTCGGACATGAGACGTCTCCTAACACCCTAGGCACAGCTTCCTCTTTTTAATATGAAGGAGTTGGACCGTGAATATACTCCCTAAGGTCAAGTTTGAGTTCTCTGGATTGCTTTAAATTATGCACGGAGTACACGTATGGAGTTATATAGATTCTTACAAAAATAACAGGAGTCTTGGGCGCCTGGGTGGCTCAGTCGGTTAAGTGTCTACCTTCAGCTCAGGTCATGACCTTAGGATCCTTGGATCGAGCCCTACGTCGGGCTCCCTGCTCAGCGGGGGAGTCTGCTTCTCCCTCTCCCTCTGCTGCTCCCTCTTCTCGTTCTCTCTCTCGACCTCTCTCAAATAAATAAATAAATAAAAATCTTTAAAAAACAAAACAAAACAGGAGTCTCCTCTAGGAGCCTTGTCCTCCAATCCCAGTCTCCTGAGTGGTCACCCTTGGGATGGCCATGGGGTAGCCTCTCCTGACCTCTGCCTCTGCCTTTGTATACGTGCCTACAGAAATACAGTTTGCGTGTGAGTGTGCTCTGACTTGGGTGGTTTTAGGTCTGTGACTTGTTTTGTTGTCTTAATCCTATTTCTTGGGAACTGTCCAAGTTCTCTGAGTTCAAAGGTGTGATAGTTCTGTGGGAGTGTTGGCACTACGAGTAGAGAGAAGGGCTCTGAAAAGAAAAAAAGCCAGAAAGCCAAAGTATAGGGCCACGTGCAGAGGGAAGCGGCAGCTGAAAAATTAGGGTTGACAGGTGAGTCTTTGTTCCTGATCTCTAGCCTCACGACAACCAGCAAAGCCATCCAGCTCTCAGCCCCGGGGTCGTGTGGGTACAGACGACGGGGGACAGACATACACATGCAATGATTCGCAATGACACTCAGAACACCAGTCATGGGCCTGGCCACAGGTGCTCCGTTAGGGCAGCACACAAGACAGTGCGGACCCCGCCCTCCCTTCTGCCCGGTGGAGAAACGGACCTGAAACAAACCAGACAGAGCCCGTTACCTGCTGGAAGCGGAAGGATTCCGACCGCTTCTTCTGGTTGAGCTGCCACTCTTTGAAGTGGAGCACAGCCTCATCCACGTTGACGATGCCCAGCTTCACCTGCTCCTGGAGCGTGATCAGCTGCCGCTGGCCTGGCGTTTTCATCCCAGCAAAAGGGTCATATACACTCGACTGGGGCCTGTCCCTCCATGGTCGGACGAGAGGCTCTGGAAAGGATGGCAAAACTCAGGATGACAGCTCCCTGACTGGGGAGGGCAGGCAGACGAGTGGGGTTAACGAGGTCGGTCACGAGCTCAAGAGGACGGGTCTCAAAAGAACAATTACGTGTGGAATGAAGAAGGGGGGCATATGACATTGAATCAGAGAAGGGGAAGCAGCTAATAATTTCAAAGCCTGTTACACTAAAGTAGACAAGGCCACAGCATTTTAGGAGGTAAGAACAGGATCCACTGGGCAAGTCAACAGAATCCCCCAAACCTGAATGATTGGGAAGCCATTAGACTAGCATTTCTCCACTTAGACATTATTGACATCTTGGACTGGAGAGTTCTTTGTTGTTGGGGGGCCATCTTGTATGCTGTAGGATTTGTAGCCTCATCCCTGGCCTCTACCCACTAGCATCCCCTGCCTCAGCTGTGACAACCAAAAACATCCCAGACATTGCAAGCATCTTTGGGAGGCAGTGCAGGGAAATGAGAAATCACCTCCAGTTGAGAACCACTGCTTTAGACTAAAATCCACTCCCAGGAAAGAATATTCAGGAAATTCTAGGCAGGATGCTTTTCCCAACACACTCCAGCCCTTTACTGTCCTCCCTGCCTCCAAGCTGCATGGGCACCATGACTGTGGACCCATGGGCATGAAATGTCCAAAAGACTAGAATGTCAATGGAACCATGATCTAGCTCCAATGTCACCAGGCACAGATTAGGTGCTGGGTCCCAAGTGGCTCTCCTTGGGTTGTTCCTCTGCCAACCTCTCCTCCACCTGACAAATTCATGGTTCTCGGTTTTGGAGATTCTCAGGAAATATGAAGGCAACCCCTCTCTTTCTCCAGGCTGTGACTCCACTAAGTTCTGTGGAGAATGAGTTCCTTGCAGATGTGATGGGGCCATTGGGGCTTGTGAGGACAACCTGACATTTTATTGCTCATTTCATGTACGGCTATCTCTGATTCTAAATTTCTCTAGCAGGACCCCCATGGGCATTGTGATTCAGGGAGAGAGCAAGAAGAAAAAAGAGAGATGACTTCAAAGTTCATTTGTCATTCTTCCCAACCATTCACTCAGATCTGTCTATACACACCCACAAATCTTTCTCCCAGATTTGCCTTCTTCAAGGCTGTCTTTAATTGTGCTGGAAGACGGGATGTGGGGAGAAAACAAAATGCATATGCCAATCAATTCCACTCTCCTACTACATAAGTCCTTGGGATGCCTTCCAAAGCTTAGATGGTGTCATGTCTCCTTTTCAAAAGAATCATCGATGGGATAACACTGAATGTCTCTCTTTAGCACAAGGAAGTTAATCAAGAAAAAAGGAGTGCTTATCTCCTCATACTTCCTCAAAAAGTCTTTTGAGGAGGAAAAAAAAGGAAGAAAAATGTTACTCAAATGCAAGCAAAATGTCTCTTAAATAAAAGCTGAACGAAAGTGTCATTTAGCTAGTAGATAGGGTAAGTAAATAGCATGGTAGGACTGCATCTTTAGGTAAAGCCTGGGTGCCAGGCTACCCACTTTCATCCTGTTGGCACCAATCTCACTATTGACACTGTTTTGTGTGCTGTCGCAGACACGTTCTGGCGTGTTCGTGTTCTCGGTATGATCAATTCGTACACTATTCTAGGGAGCCCCAATCTCTTCCCCTCTCCCCTTACCATCAGTACAGCACCACCTAAGGGGTCCCCTGGGCCTCTCTGTGTTTCAATGCTAAGGAGACATTACACCTGCAAATCACTGAAACAAGAACACTTCTACCACCCGGAAGTTCAGGTCATACAAAAGGAAGCTGAGCACATGGAGCTTACCTTTCCTGATGCTCTCTGAGGAAACATAAAAATTCCCAGGCCGCTCTTGACTTTTTTCTGCAAAAACTATGAGATAAAGAATATTCTAGGTAAAAGCCAAATCAGATTTCTTTTTCCAAAGGGTTTTATAATATTTTAGATATTTACTGGAAAAATTACCAAAATCTTATACAAAAACAGAAATGATGGATCACATTTTGGACCACTATATGCAGTTCTGTAAGTCACAACTCCAGGAGGAGGCAATGAGGGTGCCAAAGCTCAGGGGATTATGGGATGAAGACAGCCCAAACAGAAAAGGTCTCAACGCCAGAAAGACAAAGCCAGCCAGAGAACACGATGGATCATTAAAGGAAAGGGTAATGTGAACAAGGACGTGAGCTGGGCTCTGGAATCCCCGAACACCTCGAAGCTGGACAATAAAAGGAAGTCCACTCAACACGTCAACAGGTGCCATAGACAGAACTCAGAGCAGTGGGGCAGATAAAATGCGTGCACAGCTCCAAAGGGACTTAGATGAAGTCAGTCGTGAGCAACGGACCCAGCAAAGCTAACAGGAAAAACGGAGAAGTGACAGATGCTTACTTGGTGGTAAGAACGCATAGTGATGAAGGTTCCCTGGGCTCTGGAGAATACTCCCCAGATTCAAATCCTGCCTTGGCCACTTAGGAGCCACATGATCTTGGACAAGAGGCTTGGCCTGTCTCTGCCTCAGTTTTCTTATCTATAGAATGATGATGATAATAGTACCTCCCTCCCTGGGTTGTTGTGATGATTACATGAGTTAATATATGGAAAGTGCTTAGAACGGTGCCTGGCACAAAGAAGTAGTCAACATTAGCAAAAACTTGAGGTGGATGCCAAGAGCGCAGCAGTACTTGGGCACGCTGGTTAACACGACTGATAATCTGCACGGTGCGCTACAGTTTATAAATGTATTCTCCCACCTGACCCTCACTATCAGGCTCTGCAGAGTATATTAGGTATTATTATGATACATGCATTGATGTATATGTGTATCATTATGAGACCCATTTTACAGATGAGGAAAGGAAAGCTAAAGAGAGTGAAATGACTGACCTCATGTCCCAGGCTGGGAAATGCAAAGGCTGGGACATGAACCCAGGGCCTCTGGCCTCCAGACCACTGCCCTTTTTGTCATCCCCTGCCTCTCTTTTCTTTGCTTCCCCAGTTGCCTACCCAAGTCCTTTGGGGATCTTTAGGAATCACCCGTGCCCCTGTCCTAGCTCCCCACAGTGAGCCATAACACTAACGCTCTCTCCTTCCCTCCTGCCATTTAGGAATTATCAATATATATTCACATGCTTCTTCATTTGGGTTGCCTTAGAAGCAGCCCTGGGGACAAGGATCCAGGTGCACGGAGTCAATGTGGGTAGTGATGGAGGTGAGACAAGGAAGTGGATAAAGCCATACAGGGTGGGTATCCAGTAAGTTACTGGGGTGGGCAAGCTGGGGAGCTCTGGAAAGCAATGCAGAACACACAGCTTGGAGTTCTCCCAGCAGAAGGGCAGGGGTGCTCAGCCACACCAGCCCATCCATCACTGGTTGCTGGGGCTCAGGGGTGCTAACCCCCCAACTCTTCCAGCCTGCCTCGCAAAAGGTCAGAGGAGGCTCCGGCTGCCAGAGAAAGTGGTCAGACTAAGAAACACGGGTCCTGACAGGCAGGGTGCAGCCAGTGGGCACAGAAATATACAGAGCTGGGGGATATGGGCAGGGCACCAATAGTGTCTGCTACACACGCCGAAGGAGATGTTGCCCAGGGGAATGGCAAACCACAAGCACGGAGAGTACTGGCTATTCATAATGTCCGTTGGCTGTATTCCTACTCAGTGTAGGATTTGCCAGGTTTAACAAACCAAAACCAAAACTGAACAAAAAAAAAAAAAAAAAAAGGATGCAATATTTGAGAAAGAAATTATTTGCTGTTTGTCTGAAATTCACATGTACCTGGTAACCCTGTACCTGGGGCTCTGGTTGAGGGCTACCTTCCCCAATTTGTGATCGCCTTTTGTCACACCTTCCACAACCTTCTTATGCTATTAAAAACGGGATGGGGGTCAGGTGCACAGTTCTGACAATTCTTAGCTCTTACAGTATTTGGAATCCTATCAATACAATCAAGCCCTAAAAGACAGCAAAACTGAAAATGCATCAGCATCTAACTGATATCCCAGGGACCACTATGAAGAAGTCAAACCCAGCTCTCACCAATTTGTATCAGTGTAGGTAGATAGACAGCCTAGCACAGTGGCTGAAAGCCGGGACTCTGGAGTCGGATGCCCTGAGTTCAAATCCCGGTAATAGTGACCTCTGTAAGTCTCTGTTTTCCTCATCTGTACAATGGGGACGATAACAGCCCTTACCTAATACGTTATTGTAAAGACTAAATGACATGTTCCAGATAGAGTACTCTTGGTAGGTTTCAACAAATGTTAGCCATTAAAAATTAATAATAATAATATTTCAGGAAATAAAAATTTACCAGGGTTCTTGCCATTTGGAGTAGAGGTAAGTCTTTATATTGCACATGAATGCATCCAGGAAAGCCTGAACTGAATGTGATCATGGCCCGTGAGCCAGCTCCAAAATCTGCCCCGAGCTCTAACCCCATCTCCTGGGGCTGGTTAGAGACCATTCAGAAGGGGACAGTCTCTGAGCAACGGTTCAGAAGTTAAGGGGATCTAGGGAATTCCTGCTGAGGAGCCCCGAACACCCCACTGAGCATCATTCCCTGCCACACTTGCCTTTAGAAATGTATGGCTCATTGTCAGGCAGGTGGTGAGTGCCAGGAGCACTGGCCTCTGGCCTGGGCACCGGGACAGGGGGTCTGTTGGCCAGGTCCACATTAAAGGCCTCATCGTCATCCACCATGTGATACACATCTTCTTCCTGACCACCATGGTGTAGCTCCCTCTCCAAACTGGCCATTCCCATGCTGTTACCTAGAAACACAGAGAAAGGCGCCAGAAAGTAGTGACCAAACAAACTGGGTGATTGACAGTCATAAGAACAGAGAGAGTGACCATAACTTATTTGTCCAGTACTGCCCTTTGGCAAAGACCTTCCCCTATATCATTTCCTGTATGATTTACTGAGAACCCCACTCGAAGCAACTGATAAAACGCTGATATCACCTTAATTTGCCACCCATCAATGCAGCAAAAGGGAGTGAGCATTAGGCTCTATCATCTTAATTTAATTGCTAGGATTCAGTTATTCATCCCATTGGGACTAGAGAAAAGAGAGCATAGCCTCCAAAGCCGAAGGACACTTGGAACCACTGCCCCGGTGCCCGGGCAGCAGCGTGAGGGTGGCCAGGAGTCCTCCCCACCAATGGCTCCAGCATCCTCATCCTCCCCATCAAAATGACCACAGCAAATCCTTGCTGTGGACCTCCTCTGTATGAACTGCTATCCCAAGTATATTACCCACGTTACCCCCTTTGACTGTATAACAACACTGTGGAATAACTACAATCATTATTCTCATTTTGCAAATGAAGAAACTGGGGCCTTGGGGAATTAAATAACTTGCCCAAAGTTACGCAGAGCCAGACTGGCATCCAGGAAAGCTGGCTCTAGAACTTGTCTCAACCTCCATGCTCTACTGCTTTTTTTGCAACCTTTGCCCCCACTCTGCCCTCCATCAACCAGAAAGATTTAGGACAGAAGCTTGCCGCTCCCCCTCTGTCCCTGGGGTCCCACAGCCATAAGGTTTTCCCTGCCCCCTTTCTGGTGATCTGTGCTGGGACCCGAGTGTAGTGTCCCCTTGGCTTTGAGAATCTCAGCAGACCCGACTGTATGCCATTGCCCTTCATACGCATGAGCTGTGGTGACCTCGGGCACATCATATAACCTCTCTGAGCCTGATTTCCCTCTGAGCCCTACTCACAGGAGTACCGTGAGGACAAAATGAGACGGTACAGGAATGGCACCCAGCTTGGCCTACACATAGTAGGTGTTCTCCGCTCACTTCCTTCTTATCCCCAGCACGACGCATTCAACGTATCTTTATTAAATGCCTGTTTGAGATACAGGAATGAATAAAGCTTGGTCCTTCTTCCTATGGGATTTCCAATCCAGTGATTTATTGGAAGTCTCTTAGTTGCATCTTTTCTGAGCTGTGGGGAGACCGCTCTTGGCTTCCCTGTGTCCTGGTCCAGAAGACTGACTGACCGGGGGTCCCAACTCATCCAGGGGCTCTGAGTTCTAACGCTCTGCCTTCAAGAAAGTTTACAACTACTGGAGAAGTTCCCACCTATTCATCTTTGAACATCCTGTACAAGGGCATGAAGAAATTCTGGAGAGGCTTGTCTGATGTTAACAAAACGAGGTGTCTTGGGAGAGCTGCTGGCTACCCTACCAGTGACAGTGATTCCCAAGGTGCCTGCCCCCATGCACACAAGTTCTCAATTCTGCTTTTATAGCGTGAAAGCAGCCATAGACCATACTAAATGAATGGATACAAAGTGTTCCAATAAAACTTTATTTTCAAAAACAGGCAGCTAGCCAGGCTATGGTTTATCTACCACTACTCAGAACTGTTCTTTCCTCTTCACTGTCAAAACTACTTCTCCCATCCTGAATCCCATATTCTTAGCATCCTGCTTTCTATGCCTACTTCATCAACAGACTCCACCCCCTGTTTTATAAATGATTATAAATGATTGGACAGAGTTAAGGAGTTACCCACACAATTCAACACCCTCCCTCTCTGATCTTCAATGATAATGACGACGACAACAACAACAACAATCATAAACCTTCATTGCTTGCTCTATGCCCAGCCCTGCTCTGAGGCCCACTAGACAATAAGTCATTTAATTCTCACAACATTCACCTGAGAACACTGAGGCCCAGGGGAGTTGAGAACTTGTCCAAGGTTTTCCAGCCAACTGAAGGGGGAACTAAATACAGATCAGAGTTCGTGTTCTTAACCATGACACAAGGCTCAACTTAACAATGTTTATGTATATTCCCCTATGCTCTCCACATTCACCAGAAAGTCATCTCTTAAGGGCACTTGATCACATCTTATTTTTCTCTGTGTCCTCCAGCCCAACATCCAGAGCAGTGCTTTGCTCATATTGGGTACTCAATAAATTTTAGTCAAATAAAAATAAGCATATCCATTTTAAAACAGGTCTTGTTGGAGGCAACTTGTTACCCAAATGAGTGGCTCCAGTGGTAGGAACTCCTGACCTACTGTAACAGGCTGATGGGGCAGTTCACGGGGACAGAGTGTCTTCAATCATCACACCATATGCCCATTTCTGTGGCAGCCCATTCCTTTAATGGAGCAACCATCATATGGAACCAGGCAATGTTCTTACATTTGCTTCTCTTTCCCTATTTTTGCTTCCCTGCTCACAGTTGCAAATTACCTTCTAAAAACTTGCGGATCATAGAATCCTTAGTGGCCCGAGAGAAACCATCTCCAGGGATTGGATTAGATGTACTGGCCTGAAGCATTTCGACATCTAGAAGAAAAGGAAACTGAGAGTTTATATGTTGTTATTCCACACAGGCAAGGAGATTTTACAGATGGATGTACAAGATTTGATGAATCAAGAGATCTTGAATCAAGAGATTCAAGAATTCATGAATCCATTCATCTTCCCATCCATGCATGCATGCATGCATGCATCCATCCATCCAACTATCTATCTACTTAGTAAGAACCCACTGTAAGTATGAGGTATAAAGGAGAGCAACATTTCCTAGACCACAGGACTCAAAAGATATAGATATTATGCTCTTTTGCATTTGAAACAATGGGCTTAGTTTTTAAATGTATAACCATTGCATTGTTTTTAACAACCAAAAACCAATGAGAAGCAGGAATAACAAAGAATAGGTAAACTGTGGTTTACTCAAACAACGGAACAGTATGCAACAGTTAAAAAGAACATGTTGGAGCCACTCTTATCAACGTAGTGCCATCTCAACAACATAATAGTACCATCTCAACAGCATAGCAACAAGAACCCTATTTCTAGGTCACCCATGGACTTGATTATTTATAGGGAGGAAGCACATTGACCTTTGGTTTTCACTATTAAACATAAACCCACAAAGACCAAAACCATGTGTGAAAACCATTCAGGTCCCATAGCAGCTTCTACTCTAACCCAAGTAACCAACAGTGCCCTATTACTTTATGATTCTGAAGTATGCTTTTTGGGAGCAAAATATTTCAGCCTTGTATTAAAAGTAGAGCTTTGATATTATCAAAGATTGCATTCACTAAGTCATATCACACAATTACTGAGAACTTATTTGCTTAGGCAAAATAATGTAGTTTGAAGTTGAATAGTTTACTTTGAGAAAAAATGGTTTGATTTTAATCAATATACATAGATATGCCATTGCCTTACCACTTTGATCTTTGGGGACCAGCTAAATAAAATCTGGTGAATTTGTATGAAGATTTCGATGCAACTATTTATGTCACATTTCCCAACAACAGTCACTGAAAAGAGGTCATGATCATGAAGTAATGCGAAGGATAATAAACTTCATATGACATAATCCTCGCTTTGAAACAAAATATTTGTATATACATAGAAAAAAAAAGACTAGAGAGAAATACATCAAAATGCATATACTGGCTATTTCTGAAGCAGTATAGATTATGGACATTTTATTTTCTATTTTATACATGTCTTTCTCTTCCAAATTATCCACAGTGGTTTCTGGGGCTTCTATAAATGAGAAAAACCTTATTAACACTTTTTTTTTTTAAAGATCCAGGTAGGGGCACCTGGGTGGGTCAGTCATTAAGCGTCTGCCTTCAGCTTAGGTCATGGTCCCAGGGTCCTGGGATCGAGCCCCGCATCGGGCTCCCTGCTCCGCGAGAAGCCTGCTTCTCCCTCTCCCACTCCCCCTGCTTGGGTTCCCTCTCTCGCTGTGTCTCTCTCTGTCAAATAGATAAAATCTTTTAAAAAAAATTAAAAAAAAATAAAGATCTGAGTAATTATGACCAAATATGTACAATTAGATTTTCAAAGCAAAAATAACTTCAGGTTATTGAAAAAATAAAAAAATAAATTGTGGTTCACCTGTCAATTATCAGATCAATTGATTTTTTTAATTATAAAAAATGACAGATTTTAGGGGCGCCTGGGTGGCTCAGTCGTTAGCATCTGCCTTCGGCTCAGGTCATGATCCCAGCGTCTTGGGATCAAGCCCCGCATCGGGCTCCCTGCTCCGCGGGAAGCCTGCTTCTCCCTCTCCCACTCCCCCTGCTTGTGTTCCCTCTCTCGCTGTGGCTCTCTCTGTCAAATAAATAAATAAAATCTTTAAAAAAAAAATGACAGATTTTAAACTTTCCAGGGACCAGACATTACATTATTACAAAGCACAGCTCTTACTTCCATACTCCTGTGATAATCAAAATATAAATTTTATAACCATAAAAAAACATAACATTGAATGAAAAAGTTGCAGACTGATGTTTTCAGAATGATATGGTTTATATAAAGTTTTAAGGCCTATAAAACATTACATGCTGGGAAGGATAAATGTTGAATTCATGGTAATGGTTACCTCTGAGAGGGAGGGAGGACAATCGGATTTCAGAGAGGATTCATAGGGAGCTATAATATGTAATTTAAAAAAAAACCTGAGACAATAAAAAGAAAGGAAAAAGAAATGCATACCCTTGATGAATTAGAATCTTTAACAAATACAACACTTTAGAAAATCAATATAGAACCTATTGCGCCCAAGAAGATTCTACTTTTGTATTTGCTTGTATATGCAAAAAGAAGCTCTGGAAGTAGATATAAAGAATTAACATCAGTGGTTCCCTAGCACTAAAAAGATGAGGGACAAGGACTGGAGAAAGATTTTTCACCATTCACCCTTTTATAGTTGAGTTTTTTAACCTATTGAAAAAAATAATATAAAGAAATATGGGGCTTGGGTCACGTTTGTGTTACCTTAAATATAATCCAAAAAAGAAGAAGAAAAACCAATTCCTTTTTCTACCTTTTTGGTTTATTGTTTCCTGACACAGTGGAGACACTGCATGGACTATAATGTACCCCGATACTCTCTAGTCCAAAGCTCTGCGGTTCCGGATAAGAACCTCACCTGTCACCGCTGAAGTCTATAACGTAAACGACAGAGAGATCAGGGTGACGGAACAGATTCTGAAACATACCCGGAGGTGTTTTAATTTTAAATTTCTGATAAGAACTCACAAGTAATTCATTCTTTAAAAATTCAAGACCGGAAAAATTCCACTTATTTGAGATTTCAGTGAGTTCAACTCACTGAACTGTGGCTTTATGGAACACTTTCCCCACGGAGTTAGAAACTTGGGAAGAAAGGTGTATTCTATAGGTACGAGCCCTGCTGGGAGAAGGACCCTCCTCTACCTGACAAAGACCCTGTATTACTCTCCCTCTAACCACCCTTACCACAAACCCCACCCCACTAGCCACCTGACCTTGACCCAGCCAACTTTTGAAACTCCTCATTTACACAGCAATAAAACATGGAGGAATCTATCCCAAAGTAAAGACTTGCTTGGATCAGACATCCCTAAAGATGAGGGGAAGGAGAAATTCCACAGGCCTGGTGTGGCACCTTCTAGGAAATCACAGCCCCCTCAGTCTCCAGCATCGCCAAGAACCTGGGCAAAGCAACACCAGGACAATTTCTTTTCTTTTTTACTAAATTCAATTAATTAACACATAGCGTATTATTAGTTTCAGAGGTAGAGTTCAGTGATTCCTCAGTTGCATATAACACCCAGTGCTCATTACATCACATGCCCTCCTTAATGCCCATCACCCAGTTACCCCATCCCCTCCCCACCTCCAGCAACCCTCAGTGTGTTTCCTAGAGTTATGTTCTCCTATAGTTAAGAGTCTCTTATGGTTTGCCTCCCTCTTTGTCTTTATCTTATTTTATTTTTCCCTTCCTTCGCCTATGATCCTCTGTTTTGTTTCTTAAATTTCACGTAGGAGCTCCAGGACAATTTCAATCACCAATAACCAAACCCCCCAGGCTGGCAACGCCAGACTGCAAGTTTCACAACCAGCCACCCATGTTGACAATGGAAACACAGTCACACAACAGCCTAGCTATTTTCACTAACAAAGTTCAATTTGAGAGAACTGATTTCCACGTCCAAGAGACAGATGCACAATTAAAGAAGCTACAAAGAGTATTAGAAAAATAAAATGTGGAAGAAACTCGCCGCAGCAAGAGCACCCCTGGCTGGACCTGGTGTGCTAACATAATAAGAATGCAGGCTTCTGCCTCTGGTACGATGACCCTCATCCTAATATGCTGGGGGTTTTGTGGGTTAAAGCATCAAAAAGAAAAAAAGAATGAGCACTAGTAATAAAACATATCACTATCAGGATCCCTTGATACATTGCACTGAGGAGGATCTAATACCATTTCTATGGTATTCTTCCAAAAATTCACAACCTCGGTCCAATCACAGAAAACATGTGATGAACCCAAACTGAGGAGCTTTCTACAAAGTAAGTGATCAGCACTCAAGACAAGGAATGACTGAGGGACTCTTACGAAGTGGAGGAGACTAAGGAGAAATAACCACATGCGTTGTGAGTTGCTCTGTAGGCTCAGCGTCTAAGATCCCATCAGCATCTAGCATCTTACCTACGGGGTTGGAGAAATCTAGTGCAGTGTGAACAAGGCCTAGAGGTCAGTTGGTGGTACTGCACCAACACTTATCTCGCTTTCATAATTATGCTGCGGTTATACAAGAGCTAGTTATCAGGGAGATCTGGAGGAACGGTATACAGGAACACTAGTGTTTTTGCAACTTCTCTCTAAGTCTAAAAGTATTTCAAATTACAAAGTTTTTTGTTTTTTGTTTTTTTTAGAAAAAAGGGAGAAAGAGGAGGAGGGGAGGAGATTTGAAAAGCAGAGGAGGAAATGCAATGGGAAAACTAAAGAAGCACATCCCCCAGGGATGACCTACGCTGACCCTTCCCTGTCCACCTACACACCACATCACCTTCCAGTGACACTTGTGAGCCATGCACATTGAGTACTGTGACCCAGGTTGAGCTAAATGAGCCACCTGTGACAGACAGACTTTTTCCTTTGTTATCACGCCTTAACTGGATCTGCTAAATATCTGTCCTGTGACCTTAGTAGAGTTATTTCTCCTCCCTGAGCCACCCTGGAAGGGTGAATGAGAGGCTTGGGCACTAGGGTCAAAATGCATAGGTTCCAATTTTGATTCTTCCACTGCTGGCTGGAGGACCGCGACACCCACCAGTCTGACACCAAGCAGACTTTTTAGATCCACCTGATGGTTCAGGCTCCCAAGATGACCATGACCATGTTGGCACCAGGCTATTCAGGAGGACGCAGGACGCAGGAGAGCAGGACGGCACCAGGTGCCATTCCTCCTCGAGGGCAGTCTTTGTGCCAGTCCAGCAGTTCACGGGCAAGGAGAGGCGATCCGGGTCAGGCAGGTGGAGGGGCC